AAGATATGCTCAGGAAACAGGCAGAGACAATAACAAAGACTGAAGGAGCCAACAACAATGCAGTCTTACCACAGCAAAACTAGGGATGAGAGCTGGAGAGACCAAGAGGGAATGAATGCTTCAGCGAGCAAGTTCGTTTTAGAGAACTTCAGAACAGCCACTGATTGCTTCACATAACACCAACACACAGAAAGAAACCTGCACTCCAGCAGGTTGGGGAATATCATTTTACATGGAAAAGGACAGGCTTATTAACATCAGTGGAACCTAAGAATCATTTAGAGATTTGTATGAAGAATTTAACACTTAGCAAAAACAAACACAAGAACATTTCACATTGGTTTTCAGCCATTATTTCTAGTGTTTGCATTACGGACACATGAAAAATAATATTTTCCGTAATAAAGAATGTTGTTTTTAAAGTCTAGTGATTTTTAACATAAAAATTATGAAGTGACCTCACGTGTAAAAATGCCCCAAAGCTGCAAAAATAGCAAAGAAATAAGAAATTCTAGATATTAAGAAAATGTAGCATGGCAGAATCATTAAAGAAATTAGAGAAATTAAGAAAGGATAACTTTGAACTGAAACCCACTAATTGGTTTGGAACTGTTTTCAACATAAGTCACATTCATCTCACACTAGCTCAAGGAGAGTGTATAGATCCCTTTTCAGATGAGTGCAAATGACAGCAATACCTTTAATTACACATTTCTCAGAATCAGTACTAGTGCTAGGAAAAAAAAAAGCTTTGGAACAGGGTCAAGAAGGCAGATTTTCATTGTTTACTCAAATGTTTCATAAGTAGTTTCCTTTGTCATGCTACAATTAACGTGCCATGTATCATTAAAGAATAAAATGATTTATAAATAGTATGAATACAATGAGTACTCCATTGTTCCTATTTGCACTGGTAAATAAAAGACATGCCAGATAAAGGTTACGTAGAATATTTCACATCTGAACTCCTACACTTCACTCTTGGGACTAGCAAGGACCTACGCAGCACTGGAGTGACACAGAGGTGACCAAGCCAGAGGACTTAAGCTGGGCTGAGTCAAGAAGTTGCACATCAACTCATTACACCATGCAATTATGGTTTTATGGCTATGGCAGAAGTTCACACAGAGTCAGTGTAAAATGTGTTATGATTTTCTTTCCACTGAGAAAGGGCTATTCGTTCTGCCTGTCTCCACTAGTTTCCAGACCTTTACCATGCCAGCAGCATGCATCGTCTGAAACCTTCGTATCTTGCAAACATTTCCTTCCAGACTGTGGATCTGTGGGATAAAAGCCTCCCCTGATGTGGAAGCTGATGCTTCATAACAGTTTCTAATCATGACAAAAACACAAGAGGAAGCTACAAATGTACAAATGCAATAGAAAACTGTGTCGTGTTCCAAGTAAACCATGTAAATGAGGACACTCATACCTCTTCTAAGAGTATGTTAGCATTCACAGATAAAAAGCATGGCTAAGGAACACTAATCTGCCCTGCAGCCCTCACCAAGTACTTCCATTTTCAATTTCATCACCATATCTATAAAGTTCACACACCTACCTCATTAATACCTTTTTCTCTCTTCCTTTGAAGCTACTTTAAGTATATAAAAGATTAACTGAACAAGTAGTTCAGCACTCTGTTACTTTCTCATTTGTCACACACAATAGACACACTGGCACCACTGGTGCCTAGAAAGCCTGCTGTTCCTCCCAAAGGAGCTGCTCACTTAAGGATTAAAATTCAGACTAGAGATTCTGCCTAATTCTATTTAATCCTTAGTAACATGGCACAGATGACAGAGAATTGCCCCTAGGTTCCTCACACTACTGCCACCCAGACACACAGTACAACATACAATCATGCAATGTATCATACAGCATATAGTTGTTGTTTCAGAAGGCAAGACTGAATAAAGTCTTGAGCTTTCCAAGTAATACCAATCTGCATTAACTATAGGATCATAATGGTGAAATCCTCCTCCCCGCCTAAAGAGATTTTACGGTGCAAAAAATGGGTAAGGTACTAAGCAATTGAGATTTTGCTTGTTTTTCCAGCTGAAGTATGTAAAGACATAAAATGACAAAAAAAGGGCTCCCTTCAGGACAGCTGCTTTATTTTTCTCCCAGAGAAGAAAAGTGCAACACTTAATGATTAATACAAGCAGTAAAAAAAAGAAAAAAGACTGATCACGGCACACCACACTTCCATACAGTGTCAAACAGCTTGGTTTGTAACTGCAGATTGCAGAGAAATAGCTTGTCAAAATTATTTTTTTAAAAAATCAGCTTTCAAATTAAATAACAACTACCCACAATTACACAATCTAGCTGTAAAACACAATGGAATGAGCACTTGTGTTTTCATTGCAAATCTCAAACTATTTAGCAATTGGAGCATAAGCATTATCTCAACCTGAATTTTGAAGAAGAATGAGGACAGAATCATACACAAATATGAAATCTAAGTGCTAAAAAAATCTACAGACTCTAAGTCAGAGAACCATTTACTTTAAAGAAGGCAGTAAGATCAAGTCTAGTCATCCCCTAACACTACAAGTCTTCCACTAACCTGTGTCCCTAAGCACCACATGAAATTTCTTAAATATTTCCAGCGGTGGGGATTCCATCCCCTGCCATGGAAGCCCGTTCCAGTACATGACCACCCTCTCCATGAAGAAATTCTTCCCGATACCCAATCTACACTTCAGCATAAGTGAGCTTTAAGTTGTGTTCTCAAAGACAATGTTCATGTACTTCAGTACTGGCTGTTTCTTATTAAAGAAACCTAGTAGTAAACTAAAATTGTATCAAGTGTACACTTTTCAAACCAAAAAGTTATCATCCAAAAGCAACACAAAGAAAAGCTGCATTGCTTATTCAGCACCCACCAACAGTCAGCTTGTGCAAAGAATTTTACTGCAGTACTTCTTGTTCAAGTATGGGATAGCAAAAGCCATTCCAAATAAATGAAGTCAGTTGAGAGAAATACTGCATATGGTTATATTTTTTTAAGGTTGATAGCTGATTATAATTTATAATATATTTCTAATGAAGCACTGTAAGCTAATCATATTTGGGAGAAGAAGCATTTAAGAAGCTATAAAGATGTAACTAATAACATAAAATCCAAGCTCCAAACCATTGCTCTCAATATTCTTTACAGAATAAAACATTTGTTTCTCATTTCAGGAGTGGTTTGTATTCAACAATGTAAAATTTGTTTAAAGTTTCAATAGTTGTTCTCTTCACTGCTCACCAAATATTCATATTAAATACTTTTACAACGTGAGAGCCTATTGCAACCACGGGGCCTCCTCTAAGCCTTTCTTCTGTCAAGAAACTTTTTAGTCACAGGACTGTGACCCAAATGCTCACTGACAAAGGCTTAACCCTTAAAGCAACTTAAGAAAGTACATGACTTAATAATAATTCAACTTTTATCAGTTTTTGCTGTTAACTTTTATAAATTTTCAGCAGGGATACATAGAACCACATGATAGGAATCTCCTCATAAAAATAGCATGCATTATTTAAACCAGCATCGCTACAAAAACTGGTCACATTCAGATACACCATTACTCTTCAAAACAACCAATGGCTAACAGCACACACGCGTTTAGATAAACTCTCTCACACACACCAAGAAATCTGAGCTCAGAATCTGCTGAAATTCCCATTCCAATAGCACTGCTTTGTAGAGCATCAATCACTGTCAGTATAGAAAAGTTAGGTTACATATCTATACAGACCATACTTTAACAAGAACAGAAGTAGCAATTAAGAGAAAAAGCTACAGATGCCAAGAAAGAATTTGAAATACCCCATCTGCTAAAATAAAAATAAATAAATAAAACCCACCAAGCTACTACAGTACCATTGGTGGCTCGTACAAAGTTGTAATTCTGAAGTGGAAATAGAGACGGGGGTAATGCCTAGGACGCAGGAGGCTGTACAGTGCTGAGGTAATGGGCTTAGCCAGCAGGGAAAACGACTGAACCAGTGCACTTCCAGCATCCCCCGCTGGCTGACTTACTGAGTGGTGTCGGCCCCAAACTTCCAGTGACTGCATGTTCAATGACTCATAGCAAAGTGCAGAAGGCAGCTCCAGAACATGGTGCAAGCTAACACAAACACAAGACCTCCTTTCACAACAGGCCTGTCTTTGCACAAAAGGCAGTAAGAATGGTATAAGCTTTCAGCTCTGTGGCTCCACTACCATACTCTGGGGCAATTAAAATATTCGTACTTCACAGCTGATGTCTCAGACCTATTTTGCACCCTTTGCTGCTCAAACTAATCACGTAGAGAATGTTTAAGATCCTTCAGTCAACACAAAAGCAAATCGCTTTCTGATAAGGAAAGCTGCCTGCTACACTGTTACATTTTTACAGCCCCTCACATCATAGAACAGAAACAAGACCATTTCATGCTCATCTGTGTGAGTAAAGAAGTAACGGTAGATTGGAGATCTATCTCAGAGACTTCACCAGGAATAGCACGCAGCAGAGGAGAACAAGCATGTCCAGACCGGAGACGTTAAATGAACTGTTCAGAGAGCAATCCCCTACTGGCCAATCCTCAAATGCTGACATTATAACTGCAATGAAAGACCTACAGTTGTAAGTCACACAAAAACAGAAAGACTTAATTTATGATTGCTAGAATGAGGAGGTTTGCAAAACTCACAATATGCTTGTGATTAAAGCTTTTAGGACTTAAAGCATTTATTATTCAGAAGGAATTTGGCCAACATTGTGCCTTTAGTTGCAAATTTAAGTACTTCCCTGAGCCTCTCTCAAGTTTCTAGATGTAGCTTTGAGGAAAACAGTTTGAAGTATACTGGTTGGAAGGTTACTTTTACTCAATCAGCAGACTTAAAGTTCAGGTCTTCTGCTGACACAAGTATTCATATAACACTCAACTAACAACGAGTACATGAAACTGCTTGTTTAGAAAGAAAACACATGAATAATTACTGAATAAAAGAAAAGTTTTACCTCTGCTCGCTGTGTGCGGGGCAAAATGGAAGATTTTTCAATGGCATAAACATCCACCAAGTAGAGACGCACTCCTTGCTCCCTGTCCAAAATGGCAGCAGTCTGGATGACACCAGTGTGGCGTCCAATGGTGAAGAGGCGCCCCAGACTCTTATCTTCGCATCGGACGGACACAATGTAATATTCCACCTGGGCCTCAGAACCCCGTGGACTGGCTGCTTCAATAGATATCACATTCGTCCCAATAGGCTCACCCTCTTTTAAGATGGTTATGTATTTTGGCTGCGTGAATACAGGCCCATCAACGCCTTGTAGAATTATAGTCATCTCAGTGGTAGATTTCCTTCTTTCAGGGCCAAGATCTGTAGCAGAAACTATCAGATTGTATATTAGCTGAGAAGGCACCAAAGCTGATGCTACTCTTAGGTCTCCACTGTACCGATCCACAATGAATGTTTTGGTATCTCCATTGATTATTTCATATTCTACCTCTCCATTGGCTCCCTCATCAGGATCTGCTGCAATAATTGTTGTTAGGACTGAACCAATCATGACTGAAGGGTCAGCTGCAAGAGCATTTTGCGATATGAACACAGGAACATTGTCGTTTTGATCCATCACTAAAATAGTCACATTCTTCAAAGCAAACCGTCTGGACTCCACAGGAACAGCCTGATCAGTGGCTTTGACTGTTAATTCAAAGAGATTAGCAAACTCCCGATCTATTTCAGCATTGGTAAATATTGTCCCTCTGACTTCGTCTATACGGAAATGATTACCTCGTGGCGTCTGTTGAATGATTGCATATGTTAACTGCCCATTAATATCTGCATCTGAATCATTAGCAGTCACAGAAATGACAGAACTACCAACAGGAATATTCTCAATAATAGATTTAAAAATGTCCCCTGCAGGAAAATTAGGAGGGTTGTCATTAAAATCCCTAACATATATTACCACTGACATTGTAGATGACCTTGGTGGCCTTCCTTGGTCTTTTGCTGTTATATTTAGCTTATACAAAGATTGTGTCTCAAAGTCCAATTTTTTTGCAAGAAAAATACTACCAGTGTTGGGACTGATGCTAAAGGTCCCATGATTGTTTGTCCCCGTAATGCTATAGTGGAGGTCAGCATTGTCACCTGAATCAGAGTCAGTGGCAGTGACTGAGGAAACAAGTTCACCAACTCTCATGTTTTCCAAGACATCCACTGACAAGATTGATTTAGGGAAGGAAGGACTGTTGTCATTCTCATCCAATACATCAATGCTCAGTGTGCAAGTTGAACTTAAGGGAACCACTCCAGAGTCTACTGCTTGGATAACAAGTGAATACGACGCAGTAGCTTCATGATCTAGTTTGCCTACTAAGGTCACTTGACCTGTGCTACTATCTATTGCAAACTGCTTTTCTTCGTTTCCCTTGATCACAGAATAGTGAATCAACCCATTAGTCCCCTCATCAACATCTGAAGCAGAAACTCTCAGAACCTGCGTCAAATTTGCTGCCAATTCTGATATGGTAGCTTGGTAGAGATCTTTCAAAAACTTGGGAGCATTATCATTGATGTCTTTCATGTAGATCTGTACGGTTGCCTGATCCTTTAGAGGCTTTGGCAACCCCTGATCTGTTGCTATAACTGTAAGACTAAATACTGCAGCTCCTCGCTGTCTCATAAGAGCTTCCCTGTCAAACTGATGAGTACTTCTTATCTCCCCAGTTATTGTGTTCAGCTCAAAATCTGGTTGCATATGCTCAAATGAATACCTGACTTCACCATTCGGCCCAAAGTCTTTGTCTACAGCATTTATTTTACCCACATAGGAACCACCACTCTGTTCCTCTTCAAAATAAAATACATAGTTTGTACTGTTGAACAGTGGCCTGTTATCATTTACATCCTCCAGAATTACCGTAATGTTTACAGTAGCATTGAGTGGTTCTACTGCTCTATCAGAGGCAACAACAAGTAAAACGTATCTTTCTTGAAGCTCTCGATCCAGTTCACTCTTTATGTACAGCTGACCATCCGGGAAAATGCCAAAGGCATCCCCAGCATTTCCTTCAATTATACTGTAAGCTATTTCACCGTTCACTCCCGAATCTTTGTCAGAAGCCTGTACCTTAAAGAACCGTGAATTCACAGGCTCAGACTCCAAAATTGTAATTTCATAGGAAAGCTGGTCAAACACAGGAGGGTTATCATTTACATCGTGGACAGAGACAGTCAGGATGAAAGTAGAGGACAGCTGTGGCACACCCATATCTGAGGCCAGGATTTCAACCTGGTAAGTCCCAGCATTTATGTCCAGCTGCCCTATTAAGCTTATAGCACCTGTTTGTTCATTGATTGAAAACAAGCCCTTTGGGTTTTGCTTAAGGCTGTAAAGGACCATGCCATTAACACCTTCATCAGGATCAAGAGCTTTGGCTTGGAATATGGTATGACCAGCTTTCCAGTTTTCAACCACATTTACGCTTTCCACAGCATGAATAAAGTGTGGGGAATTGTCATTTAAATCTTTGACAGTTATATTGACTATAGTGTCTCCAGTCACTGCCCCACCACTAGCCACCACTTTCAGCTGGTAAAATGCTTGCTCTTCCCTATCAATAATACTGGCTGTGGTGATCTGCCCTGTCACTCTGTTGATGGCAAACATACCCCGTTGGTCACCTGTTGTAATAAGGTAACTGATGTTGGTATTGAGATCCATGGTAGAAGCAAAAACAGTACCTACATGATAACCTAGGGCAACATTTTCAAAAACAACAAAACCGTACATGCCCTGGTTGAAAACAGGTGGATTGTCCTGAGTGTCCAAGACAGTGATGGTGACAATGGCTTGGTTCTGAGACTGAAGATGGCCACCATCAGTGGCCACAACCTGTAACTGGTAAGCAGTTCTCTCCTCCCTGTCAAGGGCTATTTTTGTGGTAATGATCCCTGTCTTGCCATGGACTTGGAACCTAGAGGTATCCCCAGCTGAGATGCTGTACTTGACGGTCCCATTGGGCCCCATATCAGGGTCAGTGGCAGACACTGTGGTTACATAAGTTCCAGCTGGCTCATTCTCTTGGATATGGGCAAAATACTGGACAGGATAGAAAACCGGGCTATTGTCATTCACATCCAAAAGACTCACATTAACCCGGGCTACTGAAGAAAGGGGAGGGGAACCCAAATCTGTGGCCAGGACCTGCAGGGAAAAGTGAGCCTGCTCCTCCCTGTCCAGCTGCGAGATGGTGCTGAGCTTGCCTGACACGGGATCCAAGCGAAAGACCTGTCGAGGGGTCACTGAAGAGGGGCCAACTGCCACTACTGCCGGCTCAGCCTCCTGAAGGGAGAAACGAATGGTCCCATTGTCCCCCAGATCCCCATCCACAGCACTCAGGACCAGCAGCTCAGTTCCTGATGGGGAGTTTTCAGCCAAGGAAACCTGGTAGCCCTCAGGTTGGCTGAAGCGAGGCTTGTTGTCATTGACGTCCAGGATGTTCACCACCAACTGCGCATAGGAAAATTTGGGCTGCACTCCCTGGTCACGTGCACTGATGTTGAGCACCACCTGGGAAGTGGTCTCCCGGTCCAACCCGCTGGTGACAGATGCACCTCCAGCATGCCCAGCAGTGCCACCCCCAGGACCAGCTGTGGTGACCAGCCCGCTGTGCTCACTGATGTGGAACCAACCCAGCTCATTGCCTGAAACAATGCTGTATTTGAGGTTGGCATTGAGGCCCGAGTCACGGTCTGTCGCACTCAAGCCCCGCACGTAGCTGCCCAAAGGCACCTCCTCACTGATGTTCACCCTGTACACTGACTGCTCAAAGACAGGCGGGTGGTCATTGATGTCATTCACAAAGATCACCAGGCTAGCCACTGAAGAGCGGCTCACAGGAGTTGCCACCACCCCATCAGGAGAAAGGGAAGAAGTGGGGAAGCCCGGGGGTGGTGGTGAGGCCCCATAGTTATCAGCCACCGCCACTGTAAGGTTATAGGCAGGGATACGCTCCCGGTCCAGCGCAGCCGCCACCTTGATCAGGCTGAGGTTGGGTACCTTACTGCTGTGCACCTCGAAGTGCCGCTGCTCGTTGCCTGCCAAGATTGACACAGAGATGTTCCCGTTGGCAGCGGGGGAGTCAGCATCGCTCACCGTCAGCAAGGCCACCACAGTGCCAGGCGCCGCGTTCTCATCCACAGAGGCAAAGCGGGAAGTGGCTGGGAAGTAGCGGAACTTCACCCGGGGCTCGTTGTCATTGACATCCAGCAGGCGGATGAGGGCCTCGGCCCGGCCGCTCAGCGCTGGCACCCCGCGGTCTGTGGCCTGCACTGTCAGCGAGTACTGCTGGCACAGCTCGTAGTCCAGGCGCTCCCGGATGCGAATCACTCCACTCTCAGGATCCACCTCGAACGGGAGGCTGCTGGCCCCCTCCCCACCGCCACCATCACCTCCCTCCAGGCGGTAGCGGATGTCAGCGTTGGTGCCTTCATCAGCATCAGCTGCTGCCACCTGCAGAACACTGGCCCCAACGGGTGCATCCTCGGGCACACGTGCCTGATAAAGAGTCTGACTGAAGATGGGTGGGTTGTCATTGATGTCCTGCACGGTGACGTTGACCTGTAGGTACCCGCGCCTCCGGGGCTCACCCTTGTCCTCCACCTGCACCAACAGCTGGTAGCTGGGGGTGGCCTCCCGATCCAGCCCGCCCTGCGATACCAGATGCAAAAAAGCACCTTCGCCGCTAGGGTTGAGGGTGATGTTGAGGCGGAAACGTCCCTCCTCGTTGCCAGACACAATGCGATAGGAGCTGTGGTCCACACCGTTGGTGCCGCTGTCGGCGTCGGTGGCCGTGTCCAGGATGAGCTGCCGCCCGCTGCCCGTGTCCTCCTTGAAAGTCACCACGATGGAGGGGTCGGGGAAGACGGGCGCGTTGTCATTGAGGTCGAGCACCAGGACGCGCACCTCGCTGGGATAGGTGGGCTGGCTGGAGAGCACCACCAGGTCCACCACGTCGCTGGCCAGGCTCTCGCGGTCGATGGAGGCGCGGGTGTGCAGGGCGCCCGAGGTGGCGTTGATGGAGAAGAGGGCGTGGTGCTCGCTCAGCCGGTAGGTGAAGCCGGGCCGGGTAGCGATGGTGCCCACCCAGGTGCCGGCCGGCTGCTCCTCCAGCACCTGGAAGACCTGCCGGGGCTCGGCGGCGGCGCCCAGCGGCAGCAGCGGCAGCAGCAGCGACAGCAGCAGGGGCGGAGGGGCCCGGCGGGCGGCGGCGGTGGGGCGGCCCATAGCGACCCGGGGGCCGCTTTCGCGGTAGGGCCCGGGGCCGCCGCCGCCGCCGCTTTCAGCGGAGCCCCCCGGCCGGGGGCCGCCTTCCGCAGGCGCCTCGCTCCGGCCCCTCCCTCCCGCTGTCCCGCCGAGGCTCCGCTCGCCCTGCCCCGCCGAGGAGGGACCCGATCGGCCGGCCGTTGCGCTCAAGGGCCGCGCCGCTCGTTCTGCACCCGCCGCCGCTCGGGGGCCGGGGGGCGGCCGGGGACTCCGCACCGCATCGCCGTTCAGCAGCAGCCGCCGCGCCGTCGGGGGCCTCGTGCTCCGCCGTGCCTTAGCAGCCGCCACCACCCCACCACCACCATGCCCGGCCCGGGAGACGCCGCCGAGCGTCGCTGCTGCCGCCGCCTCTTCCTCCTTTCTCCGCTGAGTTTGTAATCCACAGCCGCGGAGCCCACCACCGCCCGGCCCCAACTTTGCGCGGCGCTCATTGATCCCGTCCCTCTTGACGCCCGGCCGGGCTCCCCCCCGGCCTCCCATTGGCCGTGCCGCCCTAGTGCCCGCCCCGATCCCCGCCCCGCACCTCCCCGAGCCCCGCCCCGCCGCCCGCCCGCCCTCCGCGCACCTGGGGCAGGTGCGGCTCCGACGGCTGTGCGTGCGGAGACGGCCGCTGCGCTCCGCTGTTCGCGGCCGTCCGAGCCCGGCGGGAAGGGGGCGACCCCTGGGACGCTTGCAGTTTTATTTTTATTGTTATCACCTAACTTCATATTATTATTTGCTTTAACTTTTTTTTTTTGTTACTTTTCTTTTCTTATTAAATTCTGCTCATTTCTTTATTTTCAATAAAGATCCCGAGACAAACTTCAGCAGACTCCTATCCTTCTCTTCGGCAAAATCATCAGCCGCGCATCCCGGTCCGGCGGAGCGGGACCGCGATGGGGCCCCGCGGCCGTCGTGCCGCAACCGCGGTCCCGGAGCGCCCCCTCGTGTCCGCCCCGCAGCCGGACGGCGCCGCTCCCCTACGCCGAGCTCCGTCCGCAGGCGTGCGGCGGCCCCTGGCTGCAGCGCTGAGAAACGGGAGTGCCTAATTAATGAGTTTCACAGCACCGGGTTTACGCAGTAACAAACAAGGCCTGACAACAGCTGGTACTAGAGTAAAAGTGGCCGCCTCTTGCATTATATTAACGCAAATGATGAACGCTTTGCAACTCGTGCATGACGGTACATCAAGTGATACCCCAGCGAGCCGACATGGCCACAGAGGAACTATGCTACATTCCCAAAGTGTTTCAGTACATCCAAATTCCACTTCATAGGATTCAGAAAGTGCTTTTGCAAATAAAATGCAGGAAATTGCACAAACTTCTAGAGCTGATTGTCAAAATTTTCTGACTGAGGTTGTTTTGAAAATGTCCTTAAAACATCTGTACTATATTCTGAGCCGTAGCTGCTGTTTTTTATACGTAGTCAAAGTTATGAGATGTATTTACAACAATTTCAGTTTATTATTATCACTATTATTTTAGCAAAAAGTTATTTTAATGGCTCGGAAATCAAGCCATTGAAACTGCAGCAGCTATGCTAGATATAAAACAGTGTGATTCATGCAGTCGCTGGTACCGTCAGCGAGGCATGTTTTAAATGAGTTAATGGAACAGTATCATAGATTCTTTGGGATCAGCTTTTTCCTCCGTCACTACCCCTGATTTTGCTTCCTGATAAATGAACAATTTGTTCATATGCATGTGAACGCAATACGCACTCTGCTGGTAAAAAGGCAGAAAGGCAGCGAGGAAACCCTGCCAGACAGCCACAGGGTGACAGCCAGTACCTCCCTGCAGCCAGCCCTTATACAGGGGGAACAGAACCAGCTGCACCAAGATCTCCTATTCTGCCTTGAAAGCAGTCGTTATGAGGAGTCCGCTAGCAATTCATAAATACAAAAATAAAGTGAAGAAAAGTCCATTTTGCAATTTTCGTATTGTCTGCAATTCTGTTGATAACACAGCCCAACACTTCCCCAGGCTTTTACCTCCAAATACAGAAAAGCAATCTCATCTCAGCACTGCAAATCAATGCCCTCATGGTAACAACAGATCAGCACTGCCCATGCTTAGTGCTCCCAGTGCTGTTTTGCCCAAAGCAGCCACTGACATGGCTGAAATGTTGCACCAGAAGGCACAGACAATGTGGAAGCACGTTGAGGGCCAATGAGCGAAATAAGAACCACTCATATTTTGGGGGGACACGTAAGTTTATAAGCATGTTTTGTTCCTGTGTCAACTAAATGAAAATTGGATATATACCTATTATCACACACAGTCCTAGGAGGTCTCAGGCCTAGAATAAGATATTCCAAGAGGAACTGAACTGTGTTCTGTAGCCAGAACAAAAAGCAATCAGGAATTCAGCAAACCTGGTGGGTTGTCTTCTGCGTTCTCTACTCACTGTGCCGAAGGAACGAACACTGATGCATGTACAGAGAATGGCAACAAAACTGTCAAAGGTCTGGAGCACAAGTCATTTGGGAAGCAGGTGAGGGAGCTAGGATTGTTTAGTTTGGAGAAGAGGAGGCTCAGGAAAGATCTTATGGCTCACTGCAACTGCCTGACAGGAGGCTGTGGCAAGGTGGAGTCTGCCTCTTCTCCCAGGTAACAGTGATAAGGACAAGAGATGGAATGGCCTCAAGTTGTGCCAGGGGAAGTTCAGGTTGGATATTAGGAAAAACTTGTTAGAGTTATGATGCGCTGAAATAGGCTGCTCACGGAGGTAATGGGGTCAACACCCATGGAGGTGTTCAAGAAATGTAGAAAGATGGCACTGAGGGACATGGTGGGACAGGCTGACAGTTGGACTTGATCTTAGAGGTCTTTAATGATTCTGTGATTCAAGACCACAAAACCTCTGCCTGTTTGATTCACCACACTCCTGAGCAATGCTGGACTTGACATTTGGCATTTTCCCTATCCGTTGAGGGCAGCTGCACATTTCTATCACCTGCAGGCTGCGGCTTCATTTATGGAAGATGTCAGAGCCCTTTGTGGAAGTACATCCCTATCTGCCTGATGCCACTCCTGCAGAGCTAGAGGCTGTCCAGGGGTCTGCCTGGGTTTTTCCTGGATGTAGCTTCCAGTCTCACTAGTTTCACTGCCATAATACATACAGAAAGACTCACCACATAGCTTCAGGAAGATTTTCCTGTATTCCTGCATGTAGTAATTGAATACATTTTCTAAACATTAGCACTGCACTGGGGAGTTTTGTAGTCAGGAAATGAGGCAGATATCTTTTTCATTCTCAGTGTGACCCAAAGATATGCCAACAGCTCCCCTGTCAGTGTGACCAACACTTTCTGCTCCTATACAAGCAACTTTACCCGATATTAAAATGTGTGTTTTTCAGAGTTCAGCTTTCCAGTATGCAAAGATAACCAAGAACACAGTTCTTGTGGGAATATTACTACTCCTTTTTTCATTTCTATATGGTAAATGCTATACTTTGATTAAAAAGCATTAGAAAGGGGTATGAATAACTGACACATCATTTTGCTATACCACACATTTTTTTGTGGGCTGACATTTTTTATCAGAATGAATTCCATTTCCTCATAGACAATTGGTAAGGATCCTGCAACAGTATTTGAACAATGGCCCCTGGCAGAGCCCTGGCAGGACAAGGATACCTCATTAACTCTAATTATTTAAAATTATTTTTACGGCTATCATTTCCCTTCAATTAGTCTCTCTCAGCAGGTCTATTTTATCAGGATTCATGTGGGATTAGAATCATAGCATCATTAATGCTGAAAAAGACCACTAAGATCATCTAGTCCAACCACCGGCCCACCCTCACCAGGCCCCTCAGTGCCACATCTCCATGTTCCTTGAACACCTCCAGGGATGGTGATTCCACCACCTCCCTGGGCAGCCTGTGCCAATGCATCACCACTCTTTCTGAAAAGAACTATTTCCCAACATGAGTTAAATACTGTAAAATACTATAAAGAACTCTATTACCAAAAATGGATACCACAAAAATGACTACCAAACAGAGTTTTTAAACAATTTCTTGCTTGTTTCTTAGATAAAGCTTGATTTAATACATCTTAGAAAACAGCCTCGCATTCACTGCTCAAATTCTGCTTCTTTGACCACTTCTTTAGAGAATTAATTTTGTCAATTTTGTGGGAGGAAAAGGTTTCAAGCAGTGAGGGGTAGATTTCCAGTTGTGACTAACTATAGTTCCATGTGTTATGTGAAGCTGTATCATTTTGCAGCCAAGATGAGAGATTATGGTTCTTGTCTTGCACTGTAAATATTGTTTTTTGTTATATATCTCTCTGTCTAGTGTTTGAACCAAACAAATGTTTTCCTCATCAGTGTTAGAGTGTGACTTTTTCCAGGAGCTTTTACATCAGGACCAGCCTTGCCATTACTCACATAAAACAACATGTAATAATTATTTTTTTTGTTGTTGTTAAAACCTATGTTCCATACCTTAATGCCAGACAAAACCAGCTTGTTTAATTGGCCTATAAAACCCCTCAGAAGTGATATTTCTATGTTTTGGCAGAACTTTATGGAAGGTGCTATGACAACCAAGTTGCTTGAGGATTGTGGACATCCACAAAGAAGTCTGAGAGGTCAGGTTTCAGACTGCTCTGTCACAGGCACTTTTTGGAAGCTGCTTCTCCTCAGTGCTATTTCAGGCCCTAAACCAGCATGGTGATCAGAAACTCTAGGTCTTGTAATAACATAGTGGATTTCCCACTACAAAACTTGATAGCAAAGCTGGGTTCTATTAGTTGTTGAGATTTGTTTTCTTAAAATGTCCAATTGCCAAGGACAAACATTTCCCAATTTTTCTCTCCCAATTCCAGACTTTCATTATTTCCTAGAATGCTTTCCTGTCTTTTCAGCTAAAAAATGGATTTCCTCATTGTACTTCTCTACCTTATCTGAGATAATTCTTTCTTAAGAAAGTGCAGCATCCATCCATTAAATGATTAAATAAAATCCTCT